CAAAATTCGAGTTAAATACACAATGATTTGAGTTAAATACACAATGGCTCAAGTTAATTACACAATATTACTTATACAGTATTATACAATAATACGTTCCAGATTACATATAAATTCAGTTTAAGGACAGACCTTGGGAACGGAACTCAACCTTAAACAGGGGACTATATCTTTCTTCCATATGCTTTTGAGTTATATCAAAATAATGAAAGCATGGAAGAATGTAATGGATTGTATATGCAGATGAATTACATCTCCACCCAGGCCCATTGGGAAATGTGGTGGAAGTCATGACATGATTTCTGGAAGCAATGAAGACCTGGATGGGGAAAAGCAGGCTGTTGATCCAGCAGCAGCTGTTGATCCAGAAGGACAATACTATTTTTGGCTGTTAATGGGGCTGTGCTTTCCCAGAATGATCTGGAAATGATCTGGAAGTCCTCCTGGACTCAAGGCTCCTACTCAAAGAAGAGGTGGAAACTGAGGCCAGAAGGAATTTTGCATAGCTTTGGCTAGTGCCCCAGGTGCAGTCTGGTACAGCACAAACTGGACACAGTCACTCATGCCCTTGCCCTCTTGATTAGATTATAATTTGCTCTACATGGGGCTGCCCTTGAACGTCACCAAGAAATTTCAGCTAATCTAGAATGGAGCAAGATGCATGCTCAGTGTTCAAATCGTAGTACTGCCATATTGAACTTCTGCTGTGGGAGCTGTACCACTAACCACTAGGTTTCCAAATGCAATTCAAGCTGTTGGTTGCTACCTATAATACCCTATATGGCTTGAGTCCTGGGTATCTTAGGGGCTGCCTTTTCCTAACAGTTTCTGCCTATCCTACCCAGACATTTAGGGGGCACCTATTTAGGATAGCCATCTACCGGGAGTTGTGGTGTGAGGTGAACCAATAGTGGGCATTTGCTGTAGCAGCTCCCCTCTGGAATAGCTTGTCCTCTGAAGCATGGATAGCTGTGGCTCTCATGGCTTTCTAGAAGCAGGTGAAAGTATCATTTCTTCATAGGGCTTTTGAGGAGTAACTGTGCCCAGCTATTCCATATTCCATAATTTTAGTTTTCTGTTAAGTATCAATTTAACTTAGAATTGAACTTGATTATTTTAATTATTAGTCTGATTTTGTATTGTTTATTATTTTTTCCATTTTATTTTTCACTGTTAATATTCTGTGACACAAGAAAAAACATGAATACAATACAAAATAGTAGCCCAGAACAATATATCTCAATATTCAACCATAGGTTATATGTAATACTTAACTTATCAGAAGAGTTATTATTAGCATTACTTGGATAATCTTTCCAGATCTGATAAAAATATAATTCCTCCCTCTCAGAAGTCAGCATTTGAATTTCATTAGTAACTTTTTACATAATAGCATTTGACCATACTTTAGCATACCAATTATTCAATGATAGGTATGAAATAAAAATTTCTAATTTTCAGTCATTCTTAATTTTGTAGCCAGGAATAAGAATACTATAAGCTCCTTTTTTATATAATAAAAAGGAGCTTATAGTATTATACATTATTATTAAACATTATTATTAATATTATTTTTTAAGTATTATTAAAATTATACATTATAGTATTATAATTAAAAGCTTTTGGCCTTCTTTTCCCGCAGAGCAAAGCAAAAGCCCAAACCAGCCTTGCTCAGGAGCTTTTTGCAAAGGGGCATTTTGGCGCACTGCGAATCAGGGGCTGCCTTTGGCAAAGCAAAAGCCAAAAGCCCAACCCCGCCCAGGAGCACAGCGCAAAGGGGCATTTCGGCATGCCGCACTCCAGGAGTTTTGCAAACGGGCTTTTTGGCTTTTTTCCCCCCTGCAGCCGAAGCCCAGCCCAACCCAGCAGTCAGGCCAGGCACACATCAGCAGCAGGAGCAAGAAGACAGCAAAGGTCAGCTTGGGCAGTGGAGCGCAGGGTAGCAGGGTGGCAATAGGGCATAGATGGGAAGAGATGGGGGGTAGGGGGAGTTGAAGTGCCCCTGGGGTCATAAGTGAAGGTGGGCTGCCAAGTGCCCAAATTTTGATCGTCTGACCATGGGGACGCTGCAACAGCCATAAATTCAGACTCCAGTTGAAAGTCACTTTTTTCAGCGGGTTCATAACCTCAAATGGTCGTAAGTTGAGGACTACCCATACTCTAGTTGCATATTTGTATGGTGTTTGTATAATGTAGGTTCTATAAGCTGGCTAAGTCTGGTTGGTTTCAGACAGTAGACAAATTTCATAAATAATAAATATACTCCTATCAACTTTAAAATTAGTTTGTTCAGATTTTTTTTTAAAGAGCCAGAAACTGAAAAACCAAACAGAAATAAATAACAGGAAGCTCAAAAGAAAAACCATGTAGAGGTTTAAAAAAAACTCTGAAAACTACTGCATGTTACATATAGTAGAAAACTACTGCATGTTACCTCTCTTTATTTCTCAATTCAGGTTTTACATAACAAGCTACCCAGGCATTTTATGAAACTTTTCTAACACTTTCTGTCTCAAGAAAACAAAACACTATGTTTGAAAGCTCTCCAAGCAATAAGGACAACTGGACAGGAAATACCATAATACACACTGCATATTTCACATATTTGAGATTAACCTTGGTCTTAATTTAGCAATACAGTACTTGATTTCACTCTATGCTATATAAGAGGGAGTAGCATATGGACATAAAATCCAGTCTTTGCTCATTTACTGAATCTAGCATAATAAAATGGTGCATTACATTATAGTGTTTCCAGAAACTTTGACCATTATGAATCACTGTTTATTTCAAAAATCTAAAATGCCTAATTTTATAAATAAAATTATTTTTTAAAAAATGTTATTAATATTCTACTTGTCTTATAGAGATCCCCCTCTTTGTAATTATTCTACATAATCTAACGCTAAGTTTGGGTTACTGAAGAAACCTTTATATAAATGGAACTGAACTAAATTAGCAGCTGAATTTGGGAGCTCTTGCCCGGTAATGTCCTTTGTATTTCTCAGTAATGCATGAATTTTGTGGCTCTATAGATGTACATCTGATAAAGAAGTATGCAACATACTTACTATGTTTAATCTAGTATAAAATTACATAGGAATAAATTGTGATAAACGTAATGGAACAAGTTACTGAGTAATACTTATTATTATATAGTTAGGCTCAGTTGCTATAATGCTACTAAATTGCTACGCTAGCCATTGTTTGGGAACTGCTGCCAACACCTATTTGAGACAGTCTGAGTAGGTACTCCACTCCTTTGGCTTTTTTACAAACACCCTGCCATGTTTCTGACAAGCCAAAACTGTATTTGCTAACTTTCTACTGTTAGGAAAGAAAGCATTTATAGGAAAAACTCATCCCAGCATCAGCAGCACTGCCAGATCTCTTCAGGCATTTCTCTTCTCCTCACCTACCTATGAAAAGCTGAACCCTGGTAAAATGGAGTGGCTATGGATTGGAGGCCCCTCTGTATCCAAGGATTTACCATCTTTGGTTTCGGATTGGGTTGCACTGCCCCGGACAGACCTGGTGTGTAATCTGGGGGTCTTCCTGGACTCAAGGAGCAGGTGGCAGTCATGGCCAGGAGAGCCTTTGCCCACCTTCGTGTGGTACACCAGTTACGCCCCTTCCTGGATCAGGAGGCTCTCTGGTCAGTCCCTCATGCCCTGGTCATCTCTCACCCAGACTACTGCAATGTGCTCTACATGGGGCTACCTTTGAAGAGTATCCGTAAGCTACAGCTGGTCCAAAATGCAGCCGCATGGATAATTTTGAGTTCCCCAAGAATGGCACATATAATACCTTTACTACACAAGCTGCATTGGGTCCCAGTCTGCTTCCGGGTCCAATTCAAAGCGTTGGTTATCACCTTTAAAGCCCTACATGGCATGGATCCAGGTTACCTGAGGGACTGGCTTACCCCTGTTACATCAACCTGTCCCACCCACTCAGGCAGAAAGCGCATGTTGCGGGTCTTGTCAGCGAGAGAATGTCGATTGGCGGGACCTAGGAGGACAGCCTTCTCTGCTGTTGCTCTCGTCCTTTGAAACTTTTTCCCCCCAGAGGTATGGCAGGCCCTACTCTACTGGCCTTCTGGAAAAAATTGAAGACCCGGCTCTGCCAGTTTGCATGGGGGATAACAACTCTACCCAATCCTGGGGGTGGCTAGTGCCTCGATGACGCTCCCTGAGTGACTGCCAATTATTTGGGATCTTTTTATTTTTTATTATTGTAATTCTGTACTTTTAATTGATTTTAATTGTTTTGTAAACCGCCCAGAGTCATTTAATGAGATGGGTGGTGACAAATTTGATAAATAAAAAATAATTTAAAAAAGGGCCAGGAGGAAGTCTCTGCATGAAGGTAACCTGAATGACCATGCAGTTGGAAGCAATGGCATCCAACTTCCCTTCCTTATTTGCATCAGACTTGCTCAAGAAAAGGCATATTTGGCCATTTGACTATCTAACAATGTCCAGCCTTCATCCAATTTTGTAGATGGAAGGATGACAGAGTGCAGGACAATTGCATTCTGTTCGTGTCTGCAACTTCAACTTTGGAAAAAGCACATACCAAAGGACAAATCCAGGGTTATCATGACAAACAAAACTACTGGACTTGATAATTAAAGTAACTGTATTCACATAACTGCAGTCTCAAATATTACCAGTGGAAGCAATTACCACACAACTGAAAACAACATGTGAACTTAGCTTCATTGGTTAGTAAGCAGACTCCAGGTTTTTTATAACCACCCACACTATCTTGTCCACATGAATAAGGATACCAAACTGATTTGAACTATAAACAGAAAGAGAGGAGCTCATCACTTCTTTATTTGCTGACAGTGGCAGGTATTTCACCAGTCACATATTCTGTATATCAAACAGTCCTTCACAGGTTTTGCAACAGCTCCTAAGCCTTTAATGTTTCCCTCAATACTGCATTCCTTTATATGCTACAGTGTCAAATAAACAGTTTTCTAAAGGCCTTACCAAGTAATGGCAACAAGATGCCTCCAGTTTTTGACTTCAGTTCCCATCAGCCTGGGCTAGCATGGACACGGGTTGGAGGGTACTAAGCTGCTTATCTTGGCCTTATACTTCGGCCCTGAGGAGAATTTCAAACTGTTGAGGATTTGTATTTCTGGAAAAAAAAATGTGCAATCTGTTTACAAACTACAGTAATATACAAAAATGACTTAATGCAAGTTTCTTTTAAAAAATAGAATAAAATTTGAGTCTACTCCAACAATCCAAAAATGTTTCTTATCCTTCATTTGTATATCATTTAAAATCAAAGCCCCAAGAACTGAACTGCAAAAACAAATCACTCCAAACTTCCCCCCAAAGCCTTCTTCAACATGCTCTCCAGATGTGCCAGAATTACAATTGCCCATAATTTTCAGACAAAAGCTGCTGGCTGGGCATTTCGGAAGTTGCATGTTCACCATTACTTGGAAAAGAGTACTGTAAGGCCCTGACCTATAATAATATTATTACTTAAGATAGGGATTGGCAACTTACAGCCCACTGACCAGATTTGGCCGGCCATCCAAAATTATCTGGCCCATAGTCCCAAAAAGAAATAATATCCACCTGGACTCAGTGTTCCTAAAAAAGAATTCAGGCCTGATGTAGAACCACACTACTTTAATAAACTGTAATGATTTGGATGGTTTTACAAGCCTATCTATATATGTGTTTATAGTGTACCTTCAGTTACTGAGCTCTCTTCCTCCTCTCTCCATAAGCACTGCTTTCCCCAACCACAAGAGAAGCCCGGAGACTCTGCGGAGCAAGCCCTCGTTTTTCCCCTTTGGCCATCCCTTTCTTTCCCCTAAGAAAGAAACGCATATCAATGGTTCACCCCAAGAGGCTTCCAAGTGCCAGTGTATTTGCGAGAGAGACACAGAGAGGGAGGGGAGAGAGGAAGGGGAGAATCCAGCAGTCCGCCATCCACTCAAAGACATGACCTCTGGCCCCTATGTCGAAGAAGTTTACCCACCCTTGCTCTAAGAGCACTCAACAAAAACAGCTTCTTTCGAAAACATTAAATATCTATAAATAACTAAAAATCAGGTTAATTCCTCCAGTCTTCTTAACAATAGAAAAAAGAACAAAATGTTGAATTTGGTTCTAAAACACAGGAATACAAAAACAGACTAATTAAACTTTTATTTAAAAACACATTGACAGTTTCTTCCCTCTCCTATAAGATTTAGTTAGTCATATTCCTGCTACAAGGTCACTTTTTTTACATTTTATAGGCAAAAAAATCTATAGATAGGGTGGGAGGGTTTTTTCTTTAAAATAAGCTGTTTAAAATAGCAGTAAAGATTTGTGCATGTTCCTCCCTCCCCACCCCCTTTGTTATGGATTTCTGAGCATATGCGGCACCCAAACTAATTTTTCAGCTAATGTTTTAGCCACTTTCTGAAACACAGGAGTAGATAAATCTTTTTTTTCTTTTTTTGTAAGGTTCTAGCTAATATTCTATACTTTCAAACTGCAGTGTCCAAAATTTCAAAACAGAGGTTTTATTCAGCATAAAACTTTTAACATGCCAACATCTGACCTCACCTAGGGCAACTCCCCCCCATAAAAAGCCAGGCTTCGATGCATGACATTTTCCTCCCATCTGCATCTCATATTTCACACAACCCAGCAGAATTGTCAGAAATCTCAGCATAAGTGTTTTTTAACACTTTCATACACTGCATCTTGGTGAAAATTAATGCAAATAACTTTTACAGTGTTTAGAAAAGCAGTGGCAAAAGAACATAAATTACAACACTTTCTAAATGCAATCAGCAAAATAACAGAAATTAATTTTGTTTCATTATCCTATCATGAGATAAGCAATGAAGCACTAAGGTTTAATATATACTAACTGAAATTATTTTCTTTATTTGAACATACACTAATAATATGAGCCAAGAAGAATAAGCAAACCATGTCACTGAAAGCATTTGGGGGAAATAGATTATATTGTATGTCAGCTTTCAAATCATTCATGTGCTTATTTTTTATAAACCAAAGAGAGGAACACAGATATGCATTCCATATGGCTGCTGATAGCATTTCATCAAAGCAAGAAATCTGATTCTCAAAGAACCTGAAAGTCTATTAGCAGAGTATTTTAAACTTAACTGATTAAAATAGTGCGTATTTCTTTTTTAAAAAATCAGGTCCATGTGCAGCTGATTGGAAACTATTTTCAAACTGTGATACTACATCCAAGTACCTTCAAAGCAACTTCAGAACCTTATGGTGTAAATGAATATTTCTACAATCTATTTTAAAATAGAGTAAGTTCTTATTTAGCCTGTTTCCATCACTGGACCAGAATCCAAATCATTGAGCTTACCAAATCTAACCATGGAAGGAGGTGAAATTAAAAATATCCAATGAAATCAACACTGAACCAGGCTGAGTCCACAGCATACACCACTTCTTTTTGCTCAAAATATGACTGAAATGTAGTGTAAAAGCTAAATTTACACTGGGGGCCTGATGGGGGCTCCATTGTTGGAACTGGCTGGTGGGATAATTTACACTGCTCTCTCCCCCCCCCATCTTGAATCGTATAGTCTTTTTATATAGAATTGTTATTAGCTAATTTTAATGTGGATATGGATATTTATATTTTCATTTTTTTTACTGCTTTGGATTTTTATTGTGAGACACCGAGTCACCCTCTGGGGGAGATGGGCAGCATATTAATTAATTAATTGATTAATTCCTGTATCACTCCAGCAGACCTGATACAGAGGACAATTCCACACTGCAGGCAAAGCAGTCTGTCTCCCACACTCTCGTTTGTTTCTTAAGTCAGTGACATTACTTGAGAGATATCCTGGGAAAGTACATGGCAGAGAACAGCGCTGCTATCGTAACTTTAGTGGGTCAGTGCTGTCAAAGTAGCTTCAGATTGCCCATGAGAAGTTTATTGTGCAGCCTGATATGTTTCAGATCCCATATCCTTTATTAAGGACAATTAAAACTGCTTTATTTCTTGTGGCTGTACACAGTTAGGGAGAGATGGGCGGAGATAAATTTAATAAATAAACAAACAAACAAACTTGGTCATAAATAAAAGGCAAGTGAATTGTGAACACTCAGGAAAACGGAAGACATGTTCAGTGCCCTTAAATAAATTTAGCTATACGGTGCTTCTCTGGGACTTTGAGGATTTCCTCTCCATCTGATTTTTATTATCTGTGCCATCATCTCACCCTGATTTATTAAGTGAGATTGTCCCAACTCATGGACTGTGGAAATTATCTATCAGATAGTAAGCTGCCGCTAAATATGAATTTGTCATTAATTTTAAAGTAATATAATAGTTTTATTTCAACACGTACGTAAGGTATGTTATTGCATAAAAACAAACAATAGCATATGGCTTTAATTCAGTTTGGTAAGATGCATGTTTTTGTATATTACAACTGTTTACTAATGACTCCAGAACTTGGGTGTAACCATCCCTGCTAAAAAGGTAATAGTCAGATGAAGGGGAGGGCTAAAGGCAGTACGAGAGGAAAATTAATATGGTTGCTGCTTTACTTCAGGCAGAAATAACCAACAAAGAAAAAAAAAGCACGTTGTGATCTTTGGAAAACACAAATCCCTTATCCAATAAACCCTTCCTCACACAGGCAAGCCATGCTTTGATGCTGCTGCAAACGTGTTGTACAGAATTCCAGGAAATACAAGAATTTCCTTATCTCCCTTTTTACAGGCCTTTTAGCTGCATATATTGATGGAGATAAGGATGTGTTTTAAGCATGTTTTTGAGGTGATGCTGAGGCCAGTTTTTGCATTCCAATACATGTGCTTAGAATATAAGGCTCATATAGTCACTAATACGTTTTCAGCCTGAAGTACATCGGGCTTCTTTATTTAGCATATTAACAATGTTCCCACTCCATAATATAAGAGGCTAATTTACAATACATTCACTTATTTATGAACAGAATAAGAACTCTAGTTTTTTTAAAGAGGCTGAAAAGCTAGCAAATATACTGCTACTGAAGCTATCTTTACCAGATCCCCCTCTGCGCATCTCAGTCTTCTTGTCTGTATACTGTAAATGTTTCATCCGTGCAGCAGAAATAGCAGCAGTACAAGTACAAGGGAATGTCATTTCAGCTGGTCAAGGTAAAAGGACTGTCTCTCTTCACTGATGCCCTATGAGGAAGATGTGAAACTAGCACAAGGGCATACCCAGTTTGCTAAACTGCCTGCTGTCATATAAATATGTGATTAAATCCTCCTGTGCAAATAAGCAAAGACTGGAGCATCCCTTTTAGAAATATCTACATGAAAACTCGAATAAAGCCTATGAATACTGCCTTAATCCTTCTTCTATAATTCCTTATAATTTTTCTAGATTCTAGAAATTTCTAGATTCTAGATTATTTATCTGAATATTTAATATTTATCTAGAGTAACGTCATCAGTTTTTATATCCTTATTCTTTTAACAGCCTTTACTACTAATGGAAATTTACTAGATGAATTTCATCCATTGGCTACACTGATTTTTAGCTTTGAATCAGCTGCAAAGAACATGGGTATGTTTTGTTTTTTGTAATGTCACTCGATACTCTGTAACTCTGCTCATTCTATAAAGTCTAGATAATTCTTTTAACCAAAGCATATCTTCATATAAAATTATTAATTGTTTAAGAAAAAGGATAGTAGTGGGTGGAGATTAAATAAATAATGAGCAAAATACTACACAATGCAGTTCTAAAGTTATTAGTGGTATATCTTGCATCTCCAGGCAGTAAGTTATTACTGTATATTGATTCAATTTGGGAATTAAGTTTTCATGAATTGTAAAGATCACCTAGATCTAGATTTGAGGGACTACCATTCCCTAATTTACAGTACTATGGTGATATATATAATTTGATCAATGCAATTGGATAAAAAACTTTTTTAAAAAAAGTTTTTTTTATAAAACAGTTGTAATGTTTTCAGTTAACTTTAGTTATATGAATAATCCACATTTTGTGTTATAAAATTATAGAAATGTTTTTGTTAATCTCAGACGTTTAGGAAATTTTAACCTTATTCACATTATTCCATAGTAAGAATCGAGACAATGTTTCATAAGCTTTGAGAGGAAAAATTAGTCTGGTATGGGATATCATGGATTATTTAACATTAGAAATACATCACATAACACCACTGTTAAAGCTCAGTATTTTTTGGAGCATTAATACCTTGAAATTTCAGTTTTCTAAAGGATTTTGTTAATTACCTATCATGACTCATGCCCACACTCTAGCACATGCACAGAAAAATCCTTTGATGTCCTGCTGCACATTAATATATTTTCATTCAGAGGCTTTAGAGAAGTTCCTCATGATCATTCATCCACGACTCTGCTTTTAAAATGCTATCTTTAATCATTTTGTCCTATTAACCTTGTTTCACTGTTTTTTCCTACTATTTCCCTGCAAGATAATCTCACAGTTGTTTGATGGAAATTTTAACAAGCATGATGTCACTGAACACAAAGTAGCATTTTTTCCCCCAATTTAAGAGTTCCTTCCAAAACAGACCAACAAAAATGTCATGAATTGCCCAAATCTAAACTTTTCAAACATTTTTAGGATTTCTCCAATCCCGGAAGAATATAAGAAACAGAGAAGAGAGAAGGGGGTGGGGTGGGAGGGAGAGAGAGAGAGAGAGAGAGCCCAATAGCATAATTCAAAGCTTACTTACAGGCATTCCATTATGTCTTTGCAGGGATTGAAATACAGTCTCTTTGGGGAAAAGAGTTTGCTCGCAGCAGCTTCAGACAATTGGTCCCATTATAACGATC